GGCTTTTGCACCGTCCATCTCCCTAAAGCGCTTTTTGCTTCTACTTCTACCAGTTTTGTCTTTTTCCGAGAGTTTGTCCTGTACCGATGAGTAAAGCCCTCTGAGGCAAATTTGTTATTTGTTAAATTGAATTGAATCCTTGTTCTTTAAAAAAAATATCAAATTTTATCTGATAAGGAATTTCATTGTATTTCATTATTTAATGCTCCATATCCAAATGTACCAAAATAACTGGGGTACGACCATAATGCATAACAAGTGCCATTATGTTGAGGAGAATTCAAAAATGAACTCATTATTTTAATGGAGGTATTTCAACGTTGTATGCGATTCTAAAACGTAAAACTATGCAGCAAACATCTACATTGTCTGTTCTGCGTAATGATAATCTCGAGAGAACTGAATCTTTTATGTCCTGTTTTGCGTTCGGCAGCTTCACAGAAGCAATGAAAGTCACACCAATTTGTGTTTTAACGTCAAAGTCTCCATCCTAACTGGCGGCCCCCTTTTTTTTGCACTAAAGCAGATAAATATATGCGCATACATCTGTCCCTTCGGCGCACTGTTTGGTAGAAGCTTCGATCTCTTTTCCATCGCCCTGTTCCTCTTTTAATTTCACCAAACTCTCTCACTTTTTTTTCCCCCGGCTCCCGTTCCCATCCGCCCTCCCCGGAGTTTACCCAATCCCCCCTTGGTTCAGCGGCAGGGCAGTGGGTCACGCCACTGGCTTGATTTTCACACTCTTCCCCCTACTGAACGCCACGTCAAGTTAATCAGGGTTAACAATTGCGGCGGTGCCTTGCTGAGCAGGGCTCCCATCGGCTTAGCGTGGACTGGCTCTGGTGATACAGATGGGCTGGTAATCTCTGTTGTCGGAGCGAACTGGGTGGGTGGAGGGTGGAGGCATATCGCGGCTGCCTGGGCGGGTGCGGGAGGAGGGTTTTCGGAAAGAAGAGAAGTAAGTATGTGACTAAGGTGGAGGATTCAATGTTCGTTAATCCTGAATGTGAAGGAAGATTGTAGTTTCCTAAACTGCAATGACAACAAAAAATGCCAGACATAATATAAGGGGACTATATTTTTTTTCTCATGCTTTCATTTTCTTCATTGCTGGGCTTCAGCAATTTGCCAGAAAGAAAAAAAAAACACTTTTTGGCTCAACAAATAATCTCACTTATATGGCTCTAGAGCACAGCGATCTTCAAAACGTATCAAAACTAAAATGTTCATGCAAGGAAACGAGGATTCACCCGAGTTGGATTAAAGAAACGAAGATGATCAAATAGAATTACAGTGAAAAGCACAAATTAGTATTCTTTTGGTGGGCCGGCCAACATAAAGAGTTTGAAAAAGGTGTCAAATGGGACATAATTATCCTAAATCCCTCATTTGCTGCTCTACTTTAATTGACCACGCGGGTCAACACTTGAAACAGAACTGCTCCAATGTCAGGGATCAAAAGGGCCGTCAGAATCACGAATCCACTGCGAGGGTTATGAAGTTCTACGATCAAAGAGACCAGAGGAGAAAAACCTTTAGATACCGAAATACCGAAGACGACTGAGGCGTAAAACATTCGGCAAAACAGAACTCTCAGCGGAACAGCAGCTGGCCGGCTGGCACAACACAGGCCGTGCTGCCCGTGCTGCCCCGGCCACAGGCTTCAGCGGACTTAATTATTTATTCTGACAGAAGAAGCATTACACAACCGCGCTTTCCTGATAGAATCCCGTATGTTTGCAGCTGGACTTCTATAGAGAACATCAAACCAAACCAAACCGGACTCACTGGATGACCTTTTCAACTCAAAGGAACGCCAGGTTAAAAAGTCTCTCCCCTGGCATGAGATTGTTACCCTTTGTTTCTGTCGCAGCACTCGGCTTGTCACGTATTTTTTTTTTCTCCCCGCAACCGTCTTGTTTTTCAGATGTCGCAGCTCCGCGGAGTGTCATATGTATTATTAACAAAAGTCTAGTGCCAACTCGTGCAGGAACACTCACAGACTTTCACAGGTTCCCGTCGGTGGCACCATTTTGATTTTGACTCGTGGCTCAAGCAGCAACACTAAGACTCGGTGACACCAGAGCACAAACTAAATATTTCAAACACTTGGCTGCTCAAAAGCTTTAAAGTCCAGGTTTGAGAGCCCTTCTATCCATTTATTACCCATCTCAACTACAGTCATGAAAGTCTTATAATGACCAAATTGAAGTCGTTATTTATGAAGCCCTAAGTTGTCGAAAGAACGGAGAGAGGGTCTTGTAAAAGTGCAAGAGCTGGAAAAGGGGGAGATATGTGAGAAAAGTGCGAGCTGATGCTGCCGTGTGACTTTGTCAACACTCCCAAGGGTCAAATATGTATATGTTAGGCTGAGCCGCTGCGTCCCGCACGCCCCACTGCATCATCCATATTCATCTCTACACGGGCCGAACCCAGTTTGAGGAATGATACTGAAAAGTTCCACTGAACTCCATCTGCCCCCTCTGCCATCGCTGCCCTCGCTGCCCTCGCCAGTCGGAGGAAAACACAGTTCATCAAAAGTTCATGTCCATTATCGTGGTAGAATTTGGCTGCATGCGCCTCGTACCATATCCCTGTGATTGGCAGGGAGGGATGAGGAGGGGAGCTTACCAAAGTTAACCCAACCACCGCTGTTGATATGACACACAGCGCGTTCTATACTTGACCTGATGCGCGGGGTCGTTGCTCGGTCAGACCGCCGCTGTAGGCGGTGTGTGTGTGTGATGGGGGATCCAGTTAAGCAAAAAACTCAAAATATCCCTTTCACTGGCCGTGTGTCGTAACATTTCTTAGCATACACCCCGCCCAACGCGAAAACGGGTTCAACGAGAGTTCACGCCTGAGGCCACACCCCCTCGCCACCACGTCAGAGGGCATCACGGCGTGTCGTCATGAGTCGCAAAGACTACAACTCCGCCCTACTTTCTGGTTCACAGCGACCCCCAAAGGGCCCGTCCACTGACCTATTAACCATTAAGAACAATGTTTTGTAACGTCTGATGGTCTGCGGTCTATTTGTCTTATTATATTCTTTGTGAGAAACATACAACCATATACATACGCATTTCCTATATGTTAATGGGTAATTTACAAAATGTGGAAGCATTATTATTTTGTTTTTGGGGATAACGCATGCTATTTTAAAAAACTTCGAAAAACAATCCAAGAACAAGTAATTTAATTCAAATAGGGTCTTAATCACATGAAGTCTTGTACATTTTCATATTATTATTTAAGAGATTTACTTACTCACTTACGTCACGCTTAAAATTATTCTACTGCATTGTAAACTAAATAATGTGGAGCACATGTCATGTTTGGGGAAAATTAATATTGAAAACAAAAGATTTTTAAAAGAATAATAATTTATTGATTAATTTATTAATAGCCATTGTCACTAATATTATCCACATGGCAGAAAAAAGTAATAAGATTGTAACAATTTCTGTTTAACATAAAAATAATCACAAAATATGTTGTTCAATAAAACAAATACTGAATATAAGAACTAATAAACTGAAAATAAAAGTACAAAATATACTAGGAAATTAAATTAAATGAATACAATAATTTAAATTCTACTGAAAATATAATCTGAAAAAGAAAGATTTTTAATATTGTAATGCCACACCATAAAAAAAATCAAAATTACATTTTTATATCATGTCTTGAGTTAACATATTAATCTTTCACACATAGCACTCTTAAACTTTATTCTGATGTATTTAGCTAAAAATATTTCAGTAAATAGTATACTCTTACTTTCAATTTGGAAGTCGTTTTATTCTGTTAAACATGTTGATTGTAAAAACGTACTAAAAAAAAAGAATGAGCTTAAATTAACTTTATATTAAATATAAGTGTATATATAGGCAATATATTATATGCCTGTATATTTTTATTGTGAATTATATTATAATCAACATTTACATGAGACATGCTTTTATGTTTTAATGTGACGCAAATGTTCAGTTTCTTGAGAAAATAATGAAACACAAGCTATTGTAGGGCAAAATAAGATAATCGTTTCTGTGGCAACATGGATTAATACTAAATCTGTGTGAACATATTAGGGGCCAAAGGGGTTTTAATTAATAAATGCATAATATATTTGAAACAATTAATCTCAAAAATTTTTATTGCGTTTGTGATTATGTGAAAATAAAATAACTACCTAGAGGTACAACGCATAACAACAAGCCGCTGCCTCAGCAAGCAAGATGAGGATATACTTTGGATGAAAGACTAAGAGTGCCCACTAGTGCTGAAAACATGTACTGCATCACCATCAAACCATTAAGAAACTTATTTTATACTTTGTCAGCCTTTAAGCCAGAACCATAAAACATTATAACTTCCATTGAATTAAGTGTTTCCCTGAGAAGTGTATTACTGCGACGTTATAAATGCAGCATTTTCATCCAAATGGAACAATAAAAACTCAGGATACAGAGTAGATAAAACGCACATCAATTCAATTATTTAATGTTAGTGTTAGTACTTCTTTTAGATAGTGACTCATCACACTAATTCAAGTGTAGAAGCTCATTTTAAAGTATTGATCAACAAAGCACATTTTTTAACAATTAAATGAACAGAAAATAAAGCAGTTTAAAATAAAAGCCTATTCAATAAAAAAACATTAAGAAATCTTTGGTAATTGAATTGATCCATTTCCGAACGCTTAATAAATATTTTAAATTGCTGTTCTACATAAAAAAATAAAGCTAATAACAGCTTATTCATTCTTCTACAATTCAAGGGCATGGGTCATCAAATTCCACCCCGATTTAGTGTCTAGTTAAGTTAGGATAAGTTACCTGACGAAAGATGTTCTTTCGCAAAAAAAAACATTATTTATTATTAGAGGTCCAAAATCCATGAGCATAAATAAATACAAGTACAGTTGTAAGTTTTGGATTCATGTACATATTTCAATGTTTTGCTCTAGAAAATATATTATGTTCATAAAAGGCTACCTTCCATATCCACTTTTATTGCATCGGCTCAGCCACAGTTGTCCGGGGCCTCCACTTCCTCCTCTGTAGCCGGTGGAACTAGACGGCTATATGAGAAAGCCAGCATCATCTGTATGAGACAATATTAGACCAGTTGTAATACAAGAAAGACAAAAAGAAGTAGGGAGAAACAGTTTGGCAGTAATCTCCAGGACAAAAAATCACTTGATTTAGAGAAATCTTCATTTTGAAACCCTGCCTCAAAGTCAGTGATGTCACAGTGTGTCATTAACAATAAAAGAAAGGTATAAAAAGGCAGGGCTGTGAAGGGGGCTTCACAGTAGCCCTAATTTAAGAGATTTAAAAAGAGTCCCTCAAACACAAGCGGACTGAGGTTGTGTTTTCTTCTTTCCCAGTGATAGTGGAAACATGTAGTTGCAGGTCTATGGTTTACTTATGCTTCATTACATCCTTAGAAGCATTTGGTTATGCTTGTTTGTTGCAGAAGACAAGCTGCCGGCTATAAGATGCCAATTCACATCTCCTATGCTTCGACTTGAACCCTTTTCTGGGCTTAGTTTGTTCCTTATTTATTCTTATTAAGTGTTGTTGTAATTTTTGATTGAAAAAGATCCCCAATTACACAATTTGTTTCAAACATTGTAAACTTTGTTTTGTGCAGATATTAAATAAGGATAAATGCAATTTAAAAAAAGTACTCATACCTAGTATTCATAAGGCAAACTGCAAAAGTATTGAGACACAATGAACAGCCCTAGCAGCTGAAAAGGCTCCATTCAATTAGATTTGGTTGAAATTGTCAATAGAAATAATACCACAACTGCCACAACTGATACCAAAATTGTTAGTTTCAGCCCTCGCATGGTGCATTTTAGACAATTCGCCAAATAGCAACCATAATGACTTTTACACAGACGCGACGATTTGGATATAGACACATTCTCTGTCTTCTAGGTTTCTTTTGCATACCGTTAGCAGTGCCAGCAGTGCCATCATCATCCCGAGCATGATATACATGTTCTCTGTAAGGCCACCAGCCCAAAGAGGGCCCAGAATGGTGGCCAGACCTCCCACTGAGCGACGTACTCCCTGACTGAAACCTGCAAGAACAGCAAAGCGTAGACTCAATACCCCAAGACAACAGCAAATACAAGACACACTTAGCAAAATGCAATGCTTTCTATTTTCCAAAGGATGGCGCAGTCTCTCACCTTGTGTTTTCTCAGAGGTAATTTTGGAGAAGAGGGAAACTTGAGCAACTGCTACAAAAGGCAAACCCAAAACCTGCAGAAACACCCCAATGATGAACTCAGTTAGCTGCCATGGGAACTGACCTGCAAGAGAGAACACACGAAACACTGATACATGCAGCATACAGGTAAACCAGGTATCTTACATGTTTGATTGAGAGGGTGGTTGCCAAAGAATTTCTATTTCTATATCTATTGTATACAAGAGCGTGTTCATCAAATTTGAGCATGTTGTATATTTAGTTATTCATATAAACATGTAAACCTGCCAAATCAAACAGTAAATGATGAGTTTTTTGAGGCCGAATCAGTTACATTCGATTAAGATCAATAAAGTGCAATAATACAAGTGTTTTCAGTGCAGTCTGACCTAGCGGGTTAGCCAAGAAGACGAGGCACCAGACACCGGAGATGTTGCAAATGGTCAGACCGATGGCCAGGACCACTCGGTCAGCAACGCGCTGACTCAGCCAGCGCACAAACAGGAAGCCAGCGATCACCTCCACGCCGCACAGACAGTACATGACGCTGTTCTCTAGCTCCCCATAGCTGAAGTACCTCTGGGTCATCGGAGTCACCATGGTCTGAGGGGGGGAATGTGTGGATATGCCGGTACAGCGCTTAGAAAAGTCAAATCCTCACAAACCCCTAAAAAACCTTAACTTGCGATGGCCTGCCAGAGGCATCATTCAGTATAATTCCTTTATAGCAATGGTCTCACTTGTTGCCAAGTTATCTAGGAGTAACAATTAATTCATTGAAAGAAGAAAGATTACAAGTTTTAGGATGGAAGTATATATATATATATATATATATATATATATAGACTTTCAGTCTGTGTTTCTGCACCTCCAGAGCGGTCTGATTGAAGAGCGTGATGAACTGAGCAGCCAGCAGCACAACCACTTCTTCCCTCAGGAACTCTACAAAGAGAGTCAGACACACTACTTTTGAGAACTTGAATGTTCACAATGTGGTTCTTTCAACTTTTTTTGCAGACTTTTTAATGGACCCAGAACGACACTGACGAACTGTAACTGTAAACTACCCACCACGGTATCGGCTGACAGTCTTAACGGAGCCACAGGGCGCCTGGGACTCGGGTGGCTCGGCGGAGGGAGGCGGAGAGCTTAACGTGGCATTTGAGGCGCCGGAGGAGTCGCGTCCGGGTGGCTTGGATGCCACCACTGCGCCGTAGGAGCCCCCCGCCTCCTGCGACGCCATTAGCGGCTTTTCCTCGTCGCCGTCGTCGTCCTCCTCCTCCTCTTCCACGACCCCTTGGTCATTCCCCTCCTCCCTGCGCTGTCCCGTCAGACTCTGCCTGGCCTTTCCCTTCTCCAGAGGCGGTAGGTCCCAGTACATGAGGATCACCGCCACTTGAAGGAGAGTCCACATGAGGCACATGAACAACTGCAGGAGATGGAGATCGAGAGTTACAACTTTTCTTTCAGGGGGCAAAGAGTGTGATGCGAAACTCCAAGGGATCCTTACCCCTGGCGCAGTATATTTATTGACGACAAAAGGACCCACGTTGAAATCACACAGCCTCAGGAAGATGTTAAACGCTGGACCTGTGTCAAACCCAAAGTTAAAACACGTCTTTCTGTTCATATTTCCCTCAACTTGCTTGCGAGCTTCAAGCATTCATCGGGTTAAACGGGACGGAGGCGACAAGTACTCCCACTCAAATCTCATTATGTGTATCTATGTTATGGGTAAAGATCACAAAAACCAGTGCATAACAATTAAACACAAAATGATTGACATTTTTCACAAGAAAGCACGGGAGCACTGACCAATCAAAAGGCCAGCCTGCCGACATGCCATGACAGCAGCAAATGCTGTGGCGCGGTCCTTGGGGGAAGTGCTTCTGGTCAGGAAGCCAAAGATAGATGAGCCAGCACCGGTGCCGATACCTTGTGAAAAAAATACCTATTTCAGGAGTGAATTACAGTCGTTGTGTCTCATAAAGTGTTATTACATACCTAAGATACATCAGAGGTAAAGTGATACACTGTTCAAGGCAGGTATAAGTTCCAAAGGCTCATCAATGTTCTGAAATGTGGCCATTTTTGAGTTAAATATGCATCATAATTATTATAGATTATATTATTATGTATTATATATATTATTAGATTTACAGCAGCTGTTAGAAAGCTCAAATGCAACATTTTACTTACAAGCTAAAATTAAAATCTTTACCTAGCGATACTGCCAGGCTACGCTGCTACGAGAGGTGTACTCCACGAGCTAAATGGGGTCATAGGTCAGTGTTATTTTGTTCGCACCCACCTGCCACCAGTCTGCTTGACAGTAACAGCCACTTGGAGTAGCCCATAAAGTACATGAAATTACCTGCAGGGCAAAAAGTTGTAAAAGAAAAAGTGATACATATACAGTAATAACTAGATTGTAAACAGAATAGCGAATGTATTGGTGTTGTTGAAAGAATACGGTGTCAACGCAGTAGTGATGGACGTTACAAATAGAACTGGACTCACCAATCATCTCAAAACAGTTGGCAAATAAGATGATCTTCTTGGTGGCCCCCGATTGGTCCGACCAGTAGCCGAACAGCGGTCCGGTCAGGAGGCCGCTCAGGCTGAACGCCGACAGGACCAAACCCAGGAAGTAGGGCGCAGCCTCCAGCGTCTGCAGATACCTCCATATTGTGGGCAATATTACAGCTGGGAACACAGAAGTGGGCCGTTTAGATTTGATCGGCCTCCTGAATTGCACTTTCATCTGAAGTACTGTCACCATCACGACACGTATGACGTTGACGTCGCGTTCCTCTGATCATAAGCTCCGAGCTGTCGCCTGTGTGATGCTTTCCCATTTTGTACTGTCAGCGTGGTTGCACGGATTCGAATAACTGGCTTAGTCGGACTGAAATCGAATTGTCCGTTTCATGTAAACACCTTTGTCCGACTATGTGCGGTCCGACTACGATCCGACTAACACCCCTGGATAACTCGATCCAATCCAGTTGATAGTTCGACTATTGCGGCATGTAACGGTGAATCGGATAAGGAACTGGACTCCTGTTAACATCACGGAAAAATAGTAGAGGGATGTAGCTTCACCTTGCTCTCCGTTCGCCATCTTTCTCGTAATGTTGATGTTGTTGTTGTTGTTGGTAGTGGTGAAGCGGTCAAGCGGAAATAGCTGTATCACAACTAGTTGTAATGAAAACAGCGCCACCTATCGTATCGGATATGACATGCTTTCGGCCAATGATTCGATTTATTCACTGCCATGTATATTGGGATAATAGCACTTGCCCCGAAAGATAGCATAGTCCGACTAAGTAAAGATTCAAATTATACCATCATGTAAACACACTGAGTGGCTCTCTTGGGCTGCGTCCTGGTGGCATCTCAACTTTAAGCATGTGAGTAATGTTAATGCTGAGGGAGCAGTGGCTCCGTGGTGCTGATTCAGTGGATTCTAAACTACATTATGTGGTCATGAGGAAGTGAAATGTCCGCTCTTACTCTTTAAGAAATTTTATCACAACCCCCCCCCTCCAGATGATTACACAACAACAGGAGCTTGTCTTGTTTGTTTTAGTATTTTCCTGTTTTTCATGTTATTCTGTGTGTGTTAAAGTCTTATGTAGTTTATTCTTGCATTATATGTGTGTCTGTCTGTGTGGACCCCAGGAAGAACACTTGGGGCCACTTGGGATCCCAATAGAGTAAACAGAACCCGGATAAAGTTTATTGGGTATCTGATCTGATTCATATGAGACACACACAGCAACTTCTCCTACCGATTGAACAACTAATCAACCTGTTAAACCCTGTTCACTCACAGTATGTACCACAAAGACACCGTAGTTTAACCACCACTCTATATTACTATCCAATGTTCAAATCAGGGATGGTGGTCGTTTTCTCCAACACAGTTTGACGTACATGGGATGAATTATGTCGTCGTTGTTCTTACAGAAACATTGAGATTTGAAAGGGGGACGCGATGCGTCAGACGCAGACGTACCGTACTCCACCCCGCTGAGCAGAAATATGAGGCCGATGGTGAAGAAGGTGAACTTCTTTTTCCTCCGGTAGTCCATGGCGTTCATCTGCTCGTCGCGGTCTCCGCGCGGAACTCTTCTGTCGACATGATCCCCGAATCCGAACGCGGCGACATTACGACGAGCTCCTTTCCCCCGTTTAAAAAAAAAGCGAGAGGAGTTGCGGCAGGTGTGACGGTTCACCACCGTGAAGCGGGATTAACCGGACCGGTTGGGCTGGAAGGTCCAGGACTCGGGAGGCTGCTGCGTCGTCCAAATCTATCTTACGTCACTTCCGGGGGAGAAGGCGCAGGCGGCGTTCCCTCCACCTGCAGTGAAGGTAAAATGCAACTGATGAGTTTGTGCTTTCAGATGAGCCAATCGTTTAGTGGGGTTTATTTAATGTGCGTGGGGAGATTATTGGAAATGATTAGATTAGATGTATTGTGAAGGAAAAACATAGTTAAAAAAAAAATATATATATATATATATATATATATATAGACAAGATGCCAGATACAAAGATGCCAATTATTACATTGAGATGTTCCACTGGAAACAAAAATCTATCTAAGCTATCTGAGATCCGAGGCGTGTGGAATCTTGCAGCAGAATAATACAGGGGAACACGGTGTCTCCAGTGTGACACAACCTGACGAAGCAACGTTGCATTTCGAAATCTGTGCAAAAAAAGTTACAGCAGCACTTTTAACATAAAGGAGTATTCTGGTGAAAAGCACTGCATTCGTTAATACATTTTTTTTACTGATCATCAGCACACATTTTTCTATAGGATCTACTGCATAGATTAATTCATTCAAATCCATTATTGCCAAGAGTAGCCCCAACATTTATATTCTACTAATAACGTGCCTATGTGTAGTGATACAGTTACTTTGTTGTCAAGGCTGTAAGCGTCTTCGACAGCCTCCTACATTTGAATGTTGCGAGGCTTTCTACGCACGTCAGTGTGAGTCACTGGCCGCGTTCCTCCGTCCTGTGACCCCCATTAGTGCTCACATTGAGAAGCCTGTGTTACACACAAAAGCTGCCTCTTCCCCCTTAATTCAATCTTCTGTCTCATGAGCATCCACATTTTAAATTGCTGCCGTCCAAGCAAATACAGGATCATTGACTATAAAAGTACTTCTTGTGAGTTAAATATTTTAAGTTCTGAAATGATTTGCCAAAGGGGATGGGAAGCATCTAAACTTGTAATGTGTTTTTAAGGTTTATCTTGGGATCGTTCATGTGAAAGAAAGAAGACTAAAGTGAGTTATTCTATACAATTCATCTGTAAATACATGAATTGGTACAACAGTCAAATGAACAAGCTAAAGGAACCAGCAAATTAGGTCTTATAAATATGTACAAAAAATTAAATCAGAGAACGACTGAGCGACATCGACACAGGAAAAACTCCCCAAAAACTTCAATGGGGAGAAAGAAAATGAAGAAACCTTAGGGAGAACGTCAGAGGAGGATCCCTCAGACTTCAGACTACAATGGATGCCGGGTGTACAGAATGAACATTGACAATTCCTATGACAGAAATGATTCAAATATTGAGAGTAGTGAGCCAGGTGTACGGCAGGACAACCACCATCCACAGAGGCCTGTGGGGAGGGAAAGCACAAAGACTTCAGGACAGAAGCCAAGGCGGTATCTCTTTATGATAACAGTGATCGTAATGTGATTAGTATTTATAGTGATAGTGATAGCAGCAGAAGTTGTTAGTGGGGCAGGAGGCAGCAACAAACAATTACTCATGGAAACTTGCGAGGCGAGAAAGCACTAAAACTCTGGAGAAGAACCTCAATTAATGAGACGTGAATTCTTATAGAAAGGGAGAGAGAAGCTCCCTGTCCCATGTCGGAGTGTCCTCGAGCAAAACACCTAACCCTTAATTGCTCCCTGGGCAAAATGTGAAAAAGCCTTGGGTTAAAAATGTAACGTAAGTCGCTTTGGATAAAAGCGTCAGCTAAATGACCTGTAATGTAATGTGTGTCCAAAAAAATCCCCCGGCAGCCTAGGCCCATAGCAGCTTTTTTAACGGCTGGTCCAGACTAACCTGAGCCAGCCATAACTATGAGCATTATCAGAGGAAAGTCTCAAGCTTTTTCTTAAATGAGGGGACTGTGTCGGCCCCGCGGACTGAAAGTGGAAGCTGGTTCCACTAAAGAGGAACTTCATAACTAAATGCTCTGGGTCCCTTCCTCTTTAACACCCTAGGAACAAGTAACTCAGCATTTATGGAGCGTTAATCCGAACCCCGTTTCTTGGGAGACGGTGACGACTGTTCCGTTACCTTAAATGTGACTTTTTCAAATCTGTGTCCGGATTAAATATCTACCAGGTACGTCAGAGCTTTACTAAGTGGTGGAAAGATGAAATACATGTATGCAGAGCCCATATCAGTTGGCGTTGTTATATATAGCAATTCCTACAAAACAAACCCATGTTAAGACCTTTACCCTGTAAGGTAGTGATTTTTGTTGGGAGTGCCTGCTTCTTAATTAAAAAAAAACAAACTCTTCACCACTACTACACAGGCAGTAAAAATGAACACTGACCAAATATAACCAAATTCAACGTGCTTGAAAGTGCTCTTAAGAAGATGCTGAGGTACATGGTTGGTTAGTCAAGTGAAAAGAATAAACATGGCAAAGGTGGAGATATATCTTCAAACGGGGGGGACTGACCACGCGGGAATCATTAGGTATAAAATAAATCTTTATTTACAGTTTGCCAGCAGATGGAGAAGGCAATAGTAGACTAAAGTTGTTCTTTAATCCGTAGTCCATCTCCTTGGAGGAAACATTTTGTAACTACATGAGTAAAAAACACTAAATGGGTTTTCTTCAGCCTCCTCGGATGAGCTGCTCTTGGATCATGGCCGTGTGTTGCAGACTTGAATACGAATGTTCAGTACACCGTTCATTGTGACCTTAAAGTCAACTGTTGCGGTTGATGAACCAGTGAAGTTGGCGAGCAGAGCTGAGCTTTAGAAGGCCAGTTTCTTCATGAGCAGGTAGACCCTGGCGTCCACCTCGAAGCCGTGCAGGTTGTTGGCGTCTCCTTGCAGCCTCATGAGGAGGCCACCGAAAGACACGTAGGCAGAGCTGAAAGACGGAGCACATCCAGGAAACTTGATTAACGTTACGAATGCTGATTCCAATGTAGGAGGTAACTGTTAGGACTACTATCCTTATGGTTGAAATGCACGTATTGAAAGTCCCTTTGGATAAAAGCGTCAGCTAAATGCCGTAATGTAATGGAATATCTGGCACGTCAATATATTATTCAGGCTTTAATTTGCATCCAATTCTGCTTTGCTAATTCCTGGGGAATAATTGCAAAAACAATTCATGAACAATAACTCCAATGCTACTTGTTATTATGCCAATGGTTTATTCATTAGTTATTATAGTGACAAATCTATGCTTAGCCTTAAAGCCTCAGTCAAAGTGAGAAACATCACTCACAGGCGTGTCGCTGCTTCTGTTGAGGTCTCATCGCCCTCAATCTTGTAAACCTTCCCGTACATCACATAATCAAATTGGTCTGCTCTGCAAATGTAAACAAACACATCTATAGTATATGGTAATGGTATATCACAGGGGTGAGTCACAGAAAAACAACAACACACTGATGGCATTACACCCTGTTGGAGTGTTAAATGCATCAATAAATGAAGAGCAAATTTCTTACCTCGACGGCCGGTCATCCTGAGGATTGTATTCTCCGTCGTCTGGCGTTCCATCTTCATATAACGTGCTGGCAATAACCAGCCTGAACTTGTCACCTAAATGAAATGGACACATGCAAGTGAGTTTCTATTGTGGGCTTTCACACCCTCAGTTACTTAGTACAGTAGGTTGCTTGTTTAACTTTTTTATCTAATCACATATAGTGGAATATAGTGGAGTACAATATAGCAATCGTGGCGTAAAATTAGTACATCCAAACACATTTATGATCGCTTTATGGTAGAGTAGAATAATTGCTTGAATTTAAGAAGTTTACCCATATGGCAAATGGGAAGATATCTGATTGGTTCTGACCATAGTGCAAAAACATTGCTTCTTACCAAGATCAACCGGATAGATTTGAATGTTCACATCCAAGATGAGGTCCATCTTGAAAGACTCACTTTCACAATGCAGACGAGATACTTTAAAGAAAAAATACAAGGGGTAGTAGATTTTTGATTAATTCATTGGTAGTTTTAGAGTGAAAACTACCCCAAATACATGAAATGCTCAAATGTAAATAATAATCTTAGCAGGTAAAATGCATACAAGTAGAAATAAAGGCTAAAAGTGAGATAAACCAACTAATTAAAGCGGTAGGATTAGCCTTGAGAATAATTTATTCTGATTTGTGTTCCTGGATACCCAGTAAAAAGGTAAGACCAATATTAATTATACTTATACCAATGTTGACTTGCTAGACGTCATTGGTTTTTAGATCTAAAACCCATTAAGGTGGCTGATGTTTGATTACCTGGTACATTTACCGGTACAGTAATAGAAAACAGGGACCATTGGAACATATAGTTACAACTGCACTTTCGTTATCTTTAAATTTCACACACCTCTGTCAAACTTCTTGCCATCTGGGTCAATGTCCTTTACGTCAAAGATGTCTTCAAACAAAATTCCAGCCATCTCTGTCTTGATCTATAAACTTGGGAAGGAAAAAAAACATAAAAGTATATTATTGTGGCAGCTTTGGTTCAATGAAAACAGCGGTCTTGCCTGAGAAGCAAGAAGATGGCGAGATTCATTAAGACTACAGGTTGTAACGTAAATGTAATGTAACGTAAATCTGCAGACTACACGCTCAAAGCCTCCTTCTTCATCCTGGACACTTCTCAAAAGACAGTGCAAAGTGAAGCTTAACTTAATAAACGCAATAGCGATAGTAGAGACGAAACTACTTCACAAAACTAACATTAGTTGAATCACACAGACGAAGATGTGCCCCTTTAGGTTTTCATTCATTTTGACTTTGCATCATTAAACGTTGAAACTCGGCGTTTATTCAACAACTTTGCGGCAAAACACAGCGAGCGATCATTCGATCAAGCGTCGGTATCTTTGCGTTGGCTAACTAACGTAACGCTACAGCTTCTGACTACGGCTAGCTGTTAGCTTTAGCATGTTGTGCACACGCGTCCCAAGCTTACCTCAAATAAGGTGACGTTCTTGTATTTATATTGTGAACGAGAAGATGTTGCCCACTTCCTCTCTGTGACGGTGTGTTTTCTAACGCGTGTGCTAGGAAACCTATTTGAGTAAAACTTCATTCATTGACGTTACCGTGTGAAACAAGTCATATTGTGCGAGTAGAGACTGCAGGATTTGTACCGCGGAGAAATGCGCTCAACCCCTGACACGCAAACTGCTTCCGGTTGAAAATGGGAACTTGCTTTAATTCAACGAGTGGTGTTGAAAATTAAAATTAATGGTATTCGTTTTGACTGTCTATGGCTAAAAAAAACTGTAATATAATGCATACAAGAAATAAACGTTGTAGCTTAATACATAAGTCGTGTTTATACCCCGATCCAGTGACGTTCCGCTTGTGCAGTAAAGTGTCGTAATTTACGACATTTTCCTCTACTTTCCAGCCCGCTTTTTCCAACCGCTTGGTTGCTAGGTGTTTTTTTAGCGTCCTATCTGTGTACGGTTGCTAACTAATGGCTAGTTGAACAATATGGTCAGCGAAGCCCATGAGCCTTGTCTATAATGGATTGTAAAAGTTGTAGTCGCGGACGAACACCTTGAAAGCGACATACAGCCCATATTCACGAATGTGTGCAAAAGGTGAGAATGATGCTAGCCGTGTTTGCCTTTAACGGTAGATAACGTTAACCGATCGTCTCCTAGTAACGTAACGTTAACTCAACTAGCTTGCCATATTTTGGCAAACGTTGATTTTGTAGATGAAGTTGACTCAGATAAAATGACTATGTTCATTTTTTTTGGGTGCTACCTTCATATAATTATTTAATTGCGCCATGCGTTGTCCTCTCCTCACAGGCAGAATGCTCGATGGAAATACTAAAGATATTTAATGAGTGGATACTTGAAAGGTTTTGGTCACTCACATGAGTTCCGGGGAGACAAACACGATGGGGGACATCCTGGCAACAGAAGCCGATCTTCTAGGGATAATCAAAGAGGTAACACATTCACATTTCCTGAATGTCCACACAGCACTATGAGAAACCGCATGAGCCCAAATAATAATGACATTACTGAAATTGGCTTAAAATGCCACCTCAATATATAGCTACAAATACAAATCCACGGAAAATAACCCCATGATATACACAGGCAATGCCCAGTACTGTAGGCCGCTTTCTTTACATTTCATCACTTACAACTGAGTGATGAAATGTGTGTTAGGTGGCGTTACTGACTCACACAATGTTGACTGCATGTTTCTGTCTTTTGTAGTACCTTAAGTTTCAGGAATTTGAAGAAACTGTTGACTGTTTTGACAAGGAGTGCAAAGGCAAAGGCAAGCTCATCTCCAAACCTCACGTAAATACCGTCAGAAACTCAAAGGTTCACAGCATTCAGGTAAATCCTACAATTCTTTTAACCTTTTGTTACCTCAAGTGTTACTTGTGGAGGTGGAAATTACGGAAAGAGTCATATGATCCATAGGACAAGAATGGCTTTCTTGTTTTTAAACCTTTTTATCTATTTATTTATCTTTATTGTTACCGGCCCCTTCTCTGCATGTTCATTTGTTATCATGGTGTGATATGTAAAGCGAGTTGCCATCAAAAAGTACCATTGTTCTCGCTCACGTACCTTTTCCCAACAGCTATCTTTTGTAACTGTCTTTTCTAGAAAGACCTTCTTAGTTCCTTTGATGATGGAGATCCAAAAGTGTTCTTTGAACTGTGGACGGAGAACATTCCCTCTGAGATAAAAGACACAGACACCGAAGCCCAGAGCCTTGAGTTTTACCTTCACATCCACTTCACTATCTACCCACTGAGGAGGCACCCGGGGAGACACGTATGTAGATCCATTCAAAAAATATTAGTTTAGTTAGTAGAGCATTACGAATCAAATGATGTCACAAGCCATCAGCTGAGTAGCATTATGCGGTCTTCTTCCAAATGTCCACTAAGCTGTGCTATCGGCTCGCCCTCGCTGGGCTGTCGATGACGTTTCTATCTTCTATAAAATGCCTGCCACTTATTTGGTTTGAGTATTTTTATAAATATAGCAGCTCTTTTTGTTTTCAGTGGTGAGAGAAACAATCCAATCTAAGAGAATGGGTGTATGCGTCCGAGGAAATGTTTCAAATGATGTGATAAGCTGACGTCTTGTAATTGACTAGAAATATATCTGTTCGTTTTGAAAATCTTTCTCCAGGACCGAGCTGAATTTGAGGAGAGGATTTCCCGCTTTAAACGCTACCTGGAGACTCGGGGAGCAGCACTGAGTCAGACAGCAAAGTTTCTCCCTTATTACGCCTTGCCCTTCGTTCCCGACCCAACTGTCCACCCCTCCTTCAAAGACCTTTTCCAGGTGTCACTGCTTAATTATTTAACATTAACATGTTAGTTGCTAACTAGCAATTCCTGCACTATTATTAGCCAGTGCCGGCTTCATGATTAACATGACCTTAACATGACCTCACAAAGTCCTTACCACAAGCGAAAGAATGAACATAACCACATTTTCTCTCATCCTACACTCTGTACATGTAGGATTCCTGGATACCACAATTGAAGGATAAGCTGGAGCCATTTCTGTCCGGGACCCTGAAGCCGTCCAACACCCCAAGGCTGCTGAGCTTATATGTATCCTCCATTGGGACTCGCCCACACGTCGTTGCTGTGAAATTTTCTTTTAGTTGGATGCCTATGCTGCTCTCAGTGGCGGGATTTGACTAGAAAATCTAACACATGTGTGCAAATTTAAACACCGTTATGTATTTTTAATAGGAGCTAAATAGCTGTAGTGGCCTTTTCTATTCACTTGTAGGGTCATTGCGTTAGATATTTTTGTCATTGGTATCTTGCTGACACTGCTAAAACCACGCTAAAGTGTGGAGATTGGTCTGGCTATGCATGACTAGTTTAAAATGAGTGGTTAACTCTTCATGCAGCTGCCGAATTGTAATAATATAAGATAAAAGGTGTGTAGACGTATGGGATGAGCACACTAATATAGGAGTAGGCTCTTTTCACAACAGCCATTTTCACACAAGTGTGATTTCCATTTTAATTTGCCGTTGGCCCGGTGCTGTGAGTGACTAAAGAATGAATGAACATTCAGAGCCACTTGGTTGTTTCTAATGCTGGAGACAAATCCTGTCGGATGTGCATTTCTAAATGGCTGCGTTCGAGTGAGGCCTGACTGTAACTCAGACTCTCAACCTTCAAAATAGAAAGGCCAGTGAATGATAACAAGGGTTGTTGCTTGTACTGGAAAGCCGACGGGTCGACTTTCCTCCTACAAGCATGAAAACTATACCATGAAAATAGAACCCGTTCCCTGCTGATCAAATGATCAAAACAGACAGATGAACAATGCGCCTATCCGACCAAGAGCTGACCAAAGAAAATCTGCATATTAATTAATGACAAATAATGGTCCGGTGTGATCTAACATTTGTAAAAAAATATTAATACTCAGATGAAAGCCACTGTTGGTCGCGCGCATAAACTTGCTGACGTACGTGTAAATGCACTCTGTGGTCACTGTGTTTGCCAGCACAAGGGCGTTGGCCCCGGGCCCTTTTTTGAAAACGATCCATCGCTCCCATTAAAACAAACTTCTGTTGATTCTATACAATAACTTATTTTCACACCATAAAATGGATTAGCTATATCTTAAGTAAATGTTTATTTTTCTTTTAGGACAAATCTGCCTCCTTCTAACAGGATGTTTGACATATTGTGTCCTCAGTCTACGTCCAGTCAAGCATAAGCAGGAGATTGTATTGCATGTATCTTTGGATCAGGAAACAAATACAGTGATGTTTGACTGGTGTTCAATTGAATGCTCGAGCAGAGTCTTTAACAGCAAACAATGCAGAAGGAGGGAGGGAGTACTAAAGGTAACTATCCCTCCCATCAACTTTTGGTAGTGTATCGCAATTATAAAATCTGTATTTTTATTATATTCTATCTGTTATGTGATGATTCGGAGACCAACTACACAGACTAAAACAACTTGTGTTAGGCCGGGCACGTCTCTTAATGATTCATTGAGTGGGTGCTGTCATTTTTTTACTTTTACTTCCCGCTCAGATCCTTTTAATGTGTTCGGGAAAGGAACAAAGGCCATGAGTAAGACCACACTGGCTTATTAATTAACAGTGGTGGACTAATATTCCAGATAAAGATTAATGACTGACCCGTGACTGATTAAGTTGTATTATTTGAGGTTGATAGAGATTAATACATGACTGAATGTTCTCTTGAAGATGGAGCAAACCAAAAGTTTTGACTGGCTCACATCATTTGGAAAGATAATGAGCACCCACCTCCTTTCATTTCAATCCTCAGATGACACATTTAACACTTTGACCTTTTTACCGTGTCTGTGTGTGTGTGTGTGCGCGCACAACCTCCCAGAGGCCATGCATCAGTTGCACCTCCATATGATCGAATCGGACCGGCGCATCGCAAGCTACGTGCGCAAGTTACACAAGATGCAGGCCGACTATCACAACCTTATGGAATCAGCGCCGAGCTGGTCGACTCTTTGGAGGCCACAGTCAGTGGAAAAATGGTAGGTCAGCTTAACGCACGCAGAAAGAGACACACAGACACACATACTGTAAACAAAGAACAACCAAAAGGGTTTTGTGTATGCAAGCTGTTTTCAGTATTATGAATATGCACACGTGTGCTCTTGGCTACCACACGTCAAAGCTTTTAAACTGAGACGTGGAAACGGCCACCCTGCCCTCCCTCTGCCCACAAACGCTGCGTCTTAAAGCTTGGGGGGGGGGCCCTGTGTGTTTTTTTGCAGATCTCCCCCGAGTACCTGCAGAGTGTGTTTGTTCGCCTGTTCAGCAGCCAGATGAGACAGAGTGCGGTGCAGAGCACTGACTTCACCAGACCTGGCACCGTGAGTGAAGCACACAGACGCCTCCCTTTTCCCCCCTTTGCTCGTCTCACACCTCCACACTAGTGTGGGGAAGATGCTGCCGGGGGCTTTACGTAGCAGACATCGGTCCAGTTGCCCCTTTGTTTGAAGAGGATTTTGAAAAGAAGGTTATTCTGACGTTGTACAGCCAACTGTAAGCCACGTCGTCATTGTTTCGTTTATATCCTGGAGTGGCTTTGGTACACACGTACATTCTGAAGGCTTGTGTGCATGCCGCAATTCTAAATGCAGTAAAAAGAGTGACTGTAGCTCCCAAAATGTCAAGTTTATCCACCGCTTTTGGTGTTCAGCTGTGAAAGTGGTTTGAATGGAAACTATACGCATTGATCCCATCCCAACGGTGGACGAGACATATTCAAATGAAACACCAAATCCTGTCCGCGCTTAACCACGCCTCGACCATCCCGCTTCCCGTCAGTGGCCTCCATTGTGGTGTTGAGCTCTCTGTTTTGAACTGAACAACTTCTTTCTGTGTGTTTGTGTTTTTCCGTGTGTTATGCTTTTGTCCACAAAGGGATATTACTCTATGAGTCCCTTTGACGATGGCTATGTAAGTTTAATATGTTTTCATCTTTACATCCTGTCATCACTCAGGTCCCCACTTGTCATCTTGCTTATGCCTCGTCGTGTCTCTTCTTTCTCCTCGTCGTCCCCTCCTTCTCCTCGTGTCTGCCTCTCTTTCCTTCACTTGTAGACCCGTCTTGGCCTTTTTGATCCCTGTTATTTCCCCTTTGTTCCTATTAGATTATTCTTGTTTTAAGTGATATTTGATCTTGTTTGTCAGATTCTAGTTAAAACCTCAACTTAGAAAAAGGTTTGTTCAGCCTCTCAACTCTCCCCTATTGGATGTCCTCTATTGAGGGTAAATATGATCAGTTTCAGTTTTATCCCCAAACTATTTGTTTAATAATATAGGTTTTTCAAGGAGCTTTGAGCTGAAAGCACTTCTTTCACACAGAGATTGTTAAATTACAGCACTCTGTTTGACAACTAAAACACAGGTGCAGATGCATCTTACATAATCAATATTAAGACTAATGATAAAATAAATGAAATAATATATAATATTTCTTTATTTAGTTAACTTCCATGGAACGTCAGGTCCAGCCTTTAACCGCTGTATACACAAAAAGAAAAAAAGTAGAAGGATCTAACATCATGTAATTAGTCCTTTATCTTTCTTTTATGAGAGCTGAGAGTCTTATTTGCCCACACACGAGCAAGCAGCTGTTCCCTTTCTCACAACATATCTCCAAATGCTGATTATGACACTTTTTTAATGCCTTCATAATATTGTTATGGCTTTCACAGATTTCGTTTTACTCCACTCTGGTTTATTCAGCTGCTGGGGGGAATGAAGAAATCTGTATCAAGCTGAGAGTCAATCACTTGAAGAAAAAAAAAAGAACAATGGGTGGCCTTCGGCATCCCCCACTGTCATATCAGGGTCATTGGAGAGAAAGCATGCTGAGCGAGAGAAGAGACTAAAGGCATAGCGTGTGTGAGTCATGCACTGTCAGAGGTGGCCTTGAAATTGAAGTTGGTTTGTTGTTTTTTAGAGAAAAGCTCTGATAAAGTTTCACCTCCTGTCGCTCATATGATTTAGGTTAAAGGCACCGTTCTTATTACATTATTATTACATGTCATTTAGCTGACGCTTTTATCCAACGCGTCATCACAATGAGTGCATTCAACCATAGGGATACAAACGCAGAAGAACAAGAAACAATGTGCAATTTCATCAAATAAGCCAATTTACAATTTGCTATAGATATGTGGCATTAAAAATATGGAAACGATTCACTAATTTGCTTGTTTCTACATGCAATATAGGTCTCTTTGTTGTTAATAGACACAACTGGAGAATATTGATTCCATTGATATATGGTCATCTCTTAAATCAGGCCATAGTGGGTCCGGACCCTCTGGTGTTAAATGTCTCAACATGTTGACATTCCACCGGTATACGGAAAGTTTTTTACAACAAAGGCAACTTGAGAAGGAAACTTAAGTAACGGTTGTTCTCCTTCACTCACAAATTTCTCGCTGCACAGCAAAACCAAAACAATCGAGTCCCCCTGATACCGCAGCCTGACCTAATTTAGTTATTTAACCCCTTTTTCTAACGCTAATTTCCTTTCCTCTAAACCAGCAACACACTACATGTACACTGAGGTGTAACAAAATGGGATGTCTGTCACACACTAACTTGCCCTCTCTGGTACTTTTAAATTGCCGAATTATCTTATTCCACTTGACACTGACTGCATGGTGCGATGGGGCCTAAAATCACACCTGTATGTGTGGGGAATCAGCATGTGCCAGAAGCATGATGTATGCATGTCCAAAAAAATAACCCAAACTCAACAGTAGCCGACTTGAATGTGGTAAGAGGGTAACACCGGGTAAGTAGGAGGACCAGGAAGTAAGGATGATGAAACAAATGTACGGCCGCATGGACTGGTGTTTTCCACATTTTAAATAACGAACGGGATAAATGCAGTCGGAAATTGTAAAATAAGCTCTGCTCCTCCACGTCTTCTTTTCCCGATTCTGCTGTCGCACGCAGGCCTCCTCCATGCTACGAGCATCCATTGCGCCACAGTAAGTCTCAAATTGGAAACTTCGGATGTACTGTATTTAGCTGGAAAACTGCCATGGTAAAAATATGGCTGACTTCTCTTTTTTTGTTAATCTGCAGGAAGTCCAGGGAGGTGCCAATGCTGCCCTCGCTGGACTACGAGAAGCTGAAGAAAGACCTGGTCCAGGGCCCAGACCGACTCAAGTGCCTGCTGCTCCAGGCGCTGCGCTGGGTACGCATTCATATTCTTGTTTACTGGATATTAGTACTCTACTTTACAAGTTCAGTTGTCAGTTATCAAGTTAAACTGAGCAATTCTTAACATTTCCACGTGTTGCCACATTTGTTATCCTTTGTCAAGCCAGTGAAGGTTTTCGATTTTGACAGATTCTCGCTGTGTTGCATCAATCTGTATTTTATTTCATTCTTTGCCACACAGCAGTTAACAAGCACCAGTCATGTTGCCTTTGCGTGTCTCCTCTTCTGAGTCTGCATTGTTGTTTCTCTCACGTCATTTCAGAGACTGACTCGCTCGCTCCCCGGTGAACAGAGAGACACAGTACTTCAGGCCTTCATCAGCAACGACCTGCTGGAGCGCTACAGCACAAAACAAGTGAGATTTTAGGACCGCAACTGTTCATGCCATCGTACTGGGGCATGTTTAATTAACACCCATACACGTAGCATCGCTATGGTAGACATCTCTGTGTCTGTTCTCCATCGGAGCGAAAGGTGAACATAACTCCTTGTCCGTTGGCCCGTCCTGGCCTCTGTCCTCACCGAGGTGCTCCGATCTATCCCATAAATGACACTTGAGGCGCTTACTGTAAGAGCCCTAATAACAGTTGAAGGGTGTCAAATTCTTATAATCAGATAAAATGCGTCTTTGATTGATGATGGCCCATGTTTTCCCAGTACACTGGTAACTGCCATTGCCCTGCAAACTTTACTGTATATTACATTATTATTATTTTTATTATAATGTGTGTTGTATTAAGTGACAAACTGCTTGCAAAGGCACAATGAAATACAAATGCGATGCAATAACCTTCTCTGGGTGAGCATGTCTGCCGCTACCGCACGTTAGACCTGCTCATAAGTGTATATTTCCCGCTTTTACCCGGCAGCAGCAGTATCTCGTGTCATCGATGCATTTGCATTTCCGAGCACTCTGATCCAACTCACATTTTGTGTGTTTCCACAGAAAACTTTGCTTCAATTGATGAGATCGAAGAACGAGATTGTCCGGCAATACATGGCTCGTCTCATCAATGCGTTTGCTTCCTTAGCAGAAGGTAAGTGCTCAAGAATTATTATTTCTTTGCAACATGAGTCATCATATGACTGGATGCATTTGGAGGTATAGATTCACAGAAGACCTCAATGGTTTTTAGTGTAACTTTCCAGGGTTTGAAACTGCTAACGATCCCCTTGTACCAGCAGTCAGTTCCTGGGGTTTTAATGTGTTGTCTTCATTCGCAGCTCAACCTTGAATTCATTCTGTTATTTCATTACTGAAGCCACTACTAGCAATTTATTGCCTTGTGATATTTCATTTCATACTGTTTAAATGCTTTCAGGCCGGGTTTACCTCTCCCAAATCCCCGTTCTTCTAAAACCTCTAATGGAGGCGCTCAGGACGGAGGAAAAAGACTCTCTGACGAGAGAGAATGTGCTGGTGGCCCTGCAGAAGCTCAGCCTCAGGTAAATAAAAAGAAAAAGAAAGTTTATGAGGACCCATTTCTCCACAGGATGTGAGTCAGTCGGCTCCTGTCTGATGAGCAGACATGTGACAAAGTCCATTCCTTGAAGTTTCAGTAACACAATGAGGCATTTTTCCAAAGCCAATCATTTCTACAACCCAATACACAGTAGCTGGCAAACACAACAAACAGTCGTTAATTTATCATCATTCCTTGGTAGGAGGAGCCAGCAGACTGCCATGATAGCAGCCAATCTGATTGACTGGCTGGTGGATGAGCTGCAGGACTCAGACTGCCTGAGTGACTACACCCTGCAGTATGCTGCCGCTCTGCTCCTGAACCTGTGTCTGCGGACAAAAGGTAAAGGCAGGTAGATCGGGAACAGAGATATGAGTATAGAGGAATATAGTTGAATAACCCAACCGTTTTAGTATTTAGCTGGATGTTTTGTCTGTACATCCCATTATGATGTCCAAAATACTATAGGGTAGATTTATTTGGGACTAAATCAGTTAATAACTTTTTTTTTTATCAATCATCCGTCTGACTTTGTTCCTTTTGGATTGTGATGGTCAGACAGGCCTTTTATTTTTTTGCTCCTGCATTTCACATTTTTGCTTTTACAGCTTCTTATAAACACTCTCCTTTGTACGTATTTCCTCTCACATCACATCCAGAGTGTGTCTTTATTCATGTTACTCCCCCATCAATGCACACACAACATCAACAAATCTACTCTCCACTTTCTCAGTATTTCCTTCAGTTTTATGTCTTTTTTTTCTTCTATAGTATCAGTGGTTGAATATGCAGTGGAAAAAATGATCGGGTTGGAAGGCAGCATTAATCTAAACAAAATGTTATCTTATCTTTTACCAAACCGCGTGTGTGTGTGTGTGTGTGTGTGTGTGTGTGTGTGTGTGTGTGTGTGTGTGTGTGTGTGGTGGATGGCTGTGTTTGCACAGGAAAAAGGAAGTGTGCAGAAAATGCCAGGCATGTGTTAAAGGTTCTAACTGACGTCCTTGGACATGAGAACCACGAGGTGACAAACACATCCGTCGACACTATTAAATACAAAATAGAAGTAATGTGATCGGGCGACACACTCATGGAGGTCGAAGAACGTAGACGCCACGCGCAAAGCATATGTACCCTCTCACCCTCACAAATTCAGAAAGCGCACCCCGAGAGAGAGTGTTTAGTTTGCAGCACCTCACGAGTTAACAACTTTCATATTCAGCTTCACCACTACTTAGTCTGTTGAAATACCATTGTTACCCGAGACGACAACCCGGGATGCCATTAAATTACACTGGCTTCTTTCAATGTTACAAAAAAAGCTGCCCACAACTTATTACTGTTATACATGAAATATAGTATGTCTATAAAATATATTTGTATTTGGATCAACTGCATAGGAGCTCTTTGCTCTTTATATCTATACGCCCTTGCTGCTGTACGTTCAAACAAGCTGTCCATTTGATCATCATTATGATAGAGGCTGTGTGTGTGTGTGTGTGTCATTTTGCTTTCTCAGATTCGACCATATGTGAACGGAGCTCTGTACAGTATTCTGTGTATACCGTCTGTGCGACAGGAAGCAAAAGAGATGGTAAGAAAGCAGAAATGTGCCCATCCGCTTTGAGCAAGCAGATCCAGTTGTGTTTTTGCTCTGCATTTCTCTCCTGGCGTCTCCGCACAACCAGTGGAGGGGAAACTGCAGGTGTTCACAGTCATACGCCGTTGCACTGACGTATTGGTGAGCTGGAGAGTGTTTGCTGAGCCCATCCTGTCCAACCAACATCTTATTTCAGCCTCAACACCTATGACAAATGGGTCTTGATCGTCTTTTAGCGTTAAAGTTACGTTGTACATTCATGGGTCATGTGTTTGCCTCCCACTTGTGCAGAGTGTGGAGGAGATTCTCCACTGCTACAGCAAGGAGGAGAACCCAGACCTCAACAGACAGATCGGTTTCATCATTAAACAGCTAAACTCAGGTTAGTCAAGTAAAATCCACTGCTACAATTGATGTATTGTTTTACTAAGAATGTGTGTGCATACAGTACGTGTCGGCTTGTTGGTCTAGAATTTGGTGCCGCTGGTGTTATTGGCATTGTTCATAACATCTACGGTTAAGAACTGCTTTACATATCAGGTGATTGGACATCTTCTTAAGTATAAAGTTTATCGGCTTTTGGCGTATAATGTGTTATCCCTAGTTGTTACAATTAATCATTTACACTGTATAAACAATGATAAAGTATTTTTACAAAATAATATGCTGTTTTTGGAAAATTGATTCTTATGTTCTGCCTGTGTTCCAACCAGCGGATGAAGAGGGACCAGAGTCAGATGATGAGGAAGATGAGGACGACGATGATGTAAATCCTGCTCTAAACCCACTAAAGATGCATATGTTATTGCTTTACACTGTCATGTTATATAGCTATCTCCACATTATTCAACCTTTTATTTTACCTTGAAAATACAACTGATTTACAATATGGAGAACTGAAAATGGCAGCAAATCCTTGTCATCAAGAAACAGAATACAAGAGTAGAAATAATAAAGCAATTAGCGAAACTAAAGCGATTAAAATCCAAGGAAAAATACTAAGGAAAATATAAAGTGGATATAGTGGAAATAGGATGAAATTAACAAGCAAATCAGTTGCTCTAAAGATAAAAGCGAGGGGGGGGAACTGGGTTATCAAGATAAGGCATGTGGTATTAAGTTTTAAGTGGGAGAGGATGAAGTTTCCTAAGTGTGTGTGTGTGTAGTGTGTGCAGTGTGTGTGCTTCCCCCTCCCCCCACACCACTATTCCCCTTGTCGTATAAGAATGGTGGTATAAGAATTCCTTGAGTGCGAGTGCCCTTGTTCCATTGCCTCTGATCTCGGATGTGGTATTTTGTAGCTGCTATCCATTTACCGTGGCTATAGGGGTGGACTGATATATATATGTCCGCAGCAAGTGCAGACTACACTGGTCTCTTGTTGGCGCCTTGATGCCAAGTATTGTGTTACACCCGTTCGTAGACTCACATCCACGTTATTGTGAAAAAGTAAATTTGAGACCACCAAAACTTCTCAGTCACAGCAATCCACACACTTCAGAATATTTCCTGTAATCTGTTTGTGGCAGGAGACATAAAAGTTGCAAACATTTGATTTGCGTCGTCTTCGGTGACCTTCATCTTTTGCATTTTTCCGAAACACTCACCACAAACAATGTCATTTTGATCTGATCTATTGCCGTTGTCTTATGATAGGAAGACCTAACGGAGCCAGACCTCGATGCAGAAGAAGTCCTCCAACCACAGCCCAGGGAAGCGTCTGGGGAGAGTCTGCTAACTACAGAGTACCTGGGAGTAAGAGTAAAACACACTCACACTCCTCCCCATGCATTAAAAACCATGTTTTTTTTTTAAAGACCCATAAACTGAGCATAATAAGGCGGAGGAGCCAACAGACGCTGACACCCTTTTACGGGCTTAACAATGACCTTCATATTGGGCATCTCCACACAGGCCCGTGTTGGACACACATGGAGAGCTGGGAGAGAAAATGCATCCTATTGCCCCAGTTTGCTGTCCACGAACACATTCTGCGTTTAGCCTCTGCATGACACCATGTCTCTTATTTTAGAGATGGCAACTACATTAATGAACACTGATGTATAACTTTTATATACATTGCCGTTTGCTTGTGTTACGTAGATTATGACCAACTTGGGGAAAGTGAAGAGGAAGTCAACCCCTCTGTCCCAACAGAGTGCCGATGAACCCCTACAACGGCCCGTCACGCCGAGCTCTCACCGCCATTTCAACGTTGTGTGAGTTAAAAACACACGCAGACCGTCTAAATCGCATCTATTAAAACTAATGCAGCAGGTCAAAGCCAGAAGGGTTTTCAAATACATTTTGCCCTTATACCTCACGAAAGCCAAGCTGAATTGTTCATTGATGGTAACGATTGAGTGAGCAGGAGGAGATTGCAACTGGAGCTGCTTTCCACGTAATATAGTCTTCAGGGATTAAAGAAAGTCTTATTTCAGGATAATGGATATGTAAGTTGTAAGGGATCGACCAGAGGTGAGGGAGCATCGACTTAAAAGGAAGTCCTTGATATGCTGGTTTAGTCATTTACTAAAGAGAACCAACCGTGCTGCTAACCTTTATTCATGTAGCGAGTTTACATATAACGCCATAGAACCAGAACCATGAACAGGGAGCACCAATGAAGGTCAGGAAAGCCAAGTGGCACCAAAGTTTGAAGATGTGATACATATAACATGGAAATCCGGATGCATAACCTGAGCGTTGTCGTTCGTGTCATGCTTAGGGATTATCGGTCCGACGGTCCAGCGGTTGAGCGTAACAGGGACAGGGAATTCCCCTTCAGCGGACAGAAGAGCGAGGAAGGAACCCTGCCTCCTTCTCGATACTACTCCCGACCTCCTACGCGCTCCGGCAGTCGCCCCAGCACTGCTGACTCCCTACGCCACAGTGTCGGTGGGTGAATGATGTTATTTACCCCCCCCGCCTCAAAGGGTTGCTCATACTTTATACATATTTGTGAAACATTTGATTTCACCTGCTGCTTTTTATTTAGCTTATGTGGAAATATTTGTTGTGATGCCCGGCGTCTACTGGCCAAGGACGAGATAAGCGATAAAGACCTTGTGGCTACGTCCTATTCTCTATAATGTATATTATACATTTCCATGTACGCTATGCTCATGTGTTCCATAGTGGTCATACATATGTCCATCACAGTCCAGCTCTGTTAAGTGTTTTTTATTTAAGTTATGCTTCATGATATGCTTCTGAAGGTAGCGTGATGAAGCTCTAACACCCCCCCTCCTCTCAGACTCAGAGTGCGGCCGGTTGTCCCAGGAGTCAGAGTTGGACGGGCCATTCGAAGGGCAATCCAGAAAAAGTTGTTCCCAGGAGGAACACAACGGACAGTCGGCCAGGTGAACACACACAAATGCTAATCACACACGTAGGCAAGAAGGGACTGTTGCATTCATGGGTCTGCAATCGAAGGGTGGCCATAGTTATTCAACTTGAGCATCATTCCATGTTCATACCTATACACCGAGATCAGAAAGTGGTAGGTTGCACAATGAAACAGTAAATCAATAAAACGTTAGGGTTGTGAGTCCATACAATCATTTGTTTAGGAGCAACTACCATAAAAGAGAGACATAGCAGACTGTAAAAGAATGATGCAAATGGGTATAAACCGCGTGAGTCAGATGAGTTTCCTGTGAAAACCTGAAATGTGTGTCAGTGTATTTGTGTGTCGGTGGAATCAGAATCAGAGCGAGTGTTGTTCCACATTGTTCTGTGACTCAGCACCGCCAAGCTGGTCTGTGAGTCTGTGACATGCGTTTAAACGAGCAGGTCCCACAAAGAGACCCATTCAATCCAACCTCCCCACCCTCTCTGCTTCTTTAAATCCCCGAGGAACGTGAGTCCTGAATTACGCCTCAAGAGTAATGTGTCCTCGGAAACGGCTTCAGTTATCACCCCCTCACTCCATAAAACAACTCGACAATACGGACGTCAGTTTCCTCAATTCACCCGCGCTTGGAGGCGAGACTTTTATACCAAGAAGAGATTTAACGTGTTGTTAAAGTCAAAAAGTCATTGATGTTTAGGTGAACGGAATCGAAGCAACACAGCAATTTGGCAAATTTTAAAAGAGAGGATCTACATTTTGGTGTTTGCTTTTTAATTCCCTTCTTTGCGGGAGTGGGAGGAGCTGTGCTTTAAACATATTTAAGGTAACACAATACAGTTTCTAATCAACACTGGTTGCTAGGTGGCAGCGAATACGGCTACTGTGGGCAGAAAGAGCTGAATGAAATCCATCCATCTGTTATGGGGACACATTACGGGGGCCATTCGGCTCCTGTCAGATGAAGACATGAGCAGACATGTTACAAAGTCCATTTGTTATAGTTTCAGTAACACAATGGGGCCTTGTTCCAAAGCTAATCATTTTATAACCCAATACGCAGTAGCTGGCAAACAGTCATTTTCATAAAAGGATGCAACTATGAAGTGTAAGTAAATCGGTGTAATGTTTAACAGCATGTCTAAGTTGAACAAAACATGTATGGAAGAGAAGATGCATGTTTTGTTTTGTCACTATTTGAGATTCAAGCAGCACTGAGAATCTCAACGAACACACACTATCGATATTTTTTCATCATCCAGAAATATTTTGCCTTGTCCTTGAAGCTAGAGACTGCAATTCTAATGTTAAAAATAGCTGGATGTTCCAAGACATATTAGACATATAGAGTTGCACAATACATGCATACATTTATGAGGTCTGTACGGTATGGACAACCACACTGGGTATCTTTGGTAGTATTTAGTAGAAGTATTGGCAAAATAATCCGGCACACTTTCCCCGTAAGTGGAGGCGATCGACTGAAACAAGTTAAATGGATGCTATCAAGTGTCAAAGGCTTGTGCAAGGTTGATGTTGTACCCAGGAACGACAAGAATCCGATGCAATCAAACCTTCAATGAAATCAGAGCTGTTCGCGGCTCTGTTGTCCCACCGCTACCGAGTAGCCCGTCAGATAACAGAATACCGTTGTTTCTCAGAAGGCTGTCTTTCTCAAACTAGCCATCAATATATAAATTATATTTACTATTTTTCAAAAGAAATGATGATCTATTCCGTCTCTGTCTCCCTCTCCTCTTCCTGTCATTGCCAGTGATTATCTTCCTGCATTCACAAGCCAGCCCAAGACTCCCCGCACACCCGACGCGGCACCCGGCCAGAGCGTGGGCGCTCACCGGGCTCGAGGCCCGCCGCTGGCCCCCCAGTTCTCCCACTCGGAGCCTCAGCAGAGCAGCCGGCCGGGCTCCGCGAGCGCCACGGGTGAAAGGGGACAACGAAGTGGAAGTAAGCACGTGCCCGCCAGTCGGTGACGACATGTTGTTTCTGGCTGGACTCTACAGGACATTACAGGAAATAGATGTAGACATTAATCGATAACAGGCCGAGTTGTTCACTAACATTTAGGGGGTATGAAAGATGTCATGTGCCTGTATAACGTATTCCCGATCAGAATGAAACTCTCTGCCGGTCTCACCGGTTTAAAATCCGAGATATATTTTGAATTTTCCTGTTTCCTTTGAAGATAAACTGACATGAATGAAGACGAAAGTGGAATATACTATGAGAAGACTAATCATGTTCACATGGATCACACAACTTCAGTGATTCAGTAGTTTCACATAGAATTATAGTTCTATCATTCTTGTTTTTGTTTTTGTTACCAGTACATATATGACTTTTATGAAAAAAAGCAGAAAATGAATTTTTATCTGGCCACATGTATTAGTGGTTATCTCCACATCTTAAACTTAGAACTTGAGTCACTGCAGTGAAGAGGGCCTGAACCGCTGCTGCGGTGCTCTTAGTTGGGGTGATTGCATCTCCCCATGCTCTCATGCGTCTTAACTGCATTTGATAAGCGATTACCTCCGGCTCTTACGCGGGGTGCCCTTACCATGAAGCCGGTAATAGGGCCTAATGGTTTGTCCAAGCCCGCACATCCTCCTGTGTGTGTGTGTGTGTTGTACTCACAAGGTCTGGCAAGTGTCAGATATTTATCGATTTTTATGGGAGTCACTTAATTGTAGCTCCACTTAAAGGCCAATATGCAGGCGCACATGACAGGGCAAACAAAATAAGTACACTTTTATTCGGAGCATCTTTAGCTTATGTGTGTGCGCCTTGCTAGCTCGCTGCAGTTTTTCTCTTTTCTTGAAACTTTGAGCCTTTTCAATATTTTTTTTCTCACTTTGATGCAGTTTCTTCGGACTGTCAGGCGGTATTCTGACGAATGTTTTCAGCTTGGCCGAGTCGGGCTGCAGGCAGGCCAAACCACATGCTGCAACAGAACCCCCTTTTGGTAAACACATCCGTTGTGACTGACAGAGACACTCCTTTAGAAAGAAAGATAGAGGAGGTGTTTTTTTTTAGCTGACCACCCACTCAGCCAGTTCAAGCAAGGAGGGGAGCTGCCACTGCCTCGCCACGTTGAGAGGACGGAGAAAGACGGCATTATCCTTCCCAAGTCCTGTTGACAAGGCGGACGTCACATGATGACAGTTCCCTGTTATGTTGCCGTGCTGGAGTGTCTCTTTGGACTGTCACTTTGGCCTTGAGTGAAAGAAATGTGATGAGGAAATCAGGTTTTCTTTTCTCCCAAATAGGAAGGGAAGAATATAACAGAATATAACAGTCATTTTAAACCAATCTTAAAGAGAATTGCCTCTGTGTAAAGCTAAATGAGGACACATTATCAACATGTAGCTACTTAAATGAATTAAAAAAGATAGTTTTACTGTCAAACAGTGTTTGAATATGAGGAATGTGCGTTTTTTAGATTCGTTAGCTGAAGGGAGGAAAAGTTCAACTTAAAAAAAGTTACTTTTTTTCAAGTTGATGTATTTTATACGTCTCAAAGGTTCTATATCAGGCATATAGAATATGAATATCCCAGCAAACAAACGTAACATGTAACGATACAGTAGAGTCATCAGTACAGTCATCCTGGCAAGGAAATAATGTTGCCTCCCTCTGTGTGTGTAATCCCAGTTTCATGCGTGCCTTTATGTCCCTTTAAGTGCATGTTTGCGTGTCCATCTGGTTTGCTAATGGCCACCGCTCTGCGGTGTGCTTATTGTCACTAACAACACCACTCCACTTTGCAGCTAACAGCTACCAGCTAGCACTGGTAGCTGTTAGCACTGGTGGCTGTTAGCACTGGTGGCTTTTAGCACTGGTGGCGGTTAGCACTGGTAGCTGCTAGCACTGGTAACAGCTAGAACTGGTGGCTGCTAGCACTGGTGGCGGTTAGCACTGGTGGATGCTAGCACTGGTGGCTGCTAGCACTGGTAGCTGCTAGCCATGTTGAGAGCGCAGTGTGAACTGTTCTTTACCATCTCCTCTCCCCCAACCCCACAGCCCTCCCTCCTTCAGGCAGCCCGTCAAACCGGAGGTGAAGAGGGAGCTATCCCCATGGAAGAGCGCTATCTTCCCGGGGGCATCTAGCTTCCTGTAACATCATCCGCTGACGTTGTGAACAGGGTCAGGGCGACAGAGATGGTCGAGGATCAGCAGCAGCGAGAAGGGGCTCAAACAATGCAAAGCATTGTACCCCCCATTTGGCTTCAGCACAGACTTTTCCTGGAACATGATATGGACAATAACCACAACCGCCAGCCGTCCAACCAACATCCTCCAGCTATAAAGAAAAAAGACAAGAAGCGTGTAATTTAACTTGGCAGAATGTGTTAAGTGTTAGGGGATAAATCCACAATATTTTTATTTATGTCAAAATGTTTTTCCCTGGTTTTACTCATGAAGGAATGGTTCAGGTTTTCTGACAGAACTAGACAGAGAGATTTTCTGTTAATATCCCATAGGATATTGCATTGGAAATCGTGAAGGGAAACAACTCTTTTGTCTTTGAATTTATTGTACAGATATTAAAACATTGTTTTTTTAGTTGTCATCTTGATTAAATGAATCGGAAATCTTAGCTTTTCACTACGTACTGTATATTTATAATTTTGACTAGTTGAAAATATCAATCCACATGAACGAATAATTGTACAGGCTTTGCTTCAAATATAAGGCATCATTTCATATCAGAGTTGCTGCTCTTGTTTAACTTATGCTTCAGGATGTGCTTGGAGAAAGACGTGTCGTCTGTTTTTTGTTGTTGTTTGTAATATTTAAAAGTGTTTATTGTTATTACAGAAATCCCTACATCAGACTAAAAACAACTTTGTGAACGTTTTCCAGCAGTAAACTTGTACCGGTGCATTTCTGTTATCAAGCAATTTGATAGTAATTCATTTTGGTACGGTTTGTTGTTTTAAATGTGACATGTTTTTTCTTGGTTGTTTGAATTTCTCAACTCGTTAACCCTTGCTGATGCAGTTTGAGCTCGGTGCTACATCCCGATTGGCTACCGTTCAGAGCTGCACCGCAATCTTGGATCATAAAACACTTCCTGTTGCGCAATTACTGCCTGTTGTGTTGTGACCACCCAGGGTTACATGCTCGTAAGAGATTGCTGCTCTCATGTCATTTTGTAAACTGAAAGCTATGTCGCACTCTGCAACTCACCTCCCAAATGTTCTGACATGCTGGAGTTTTCAATTAAAATCCGCATGAATAGTGATCATCAAGACATAGTGTAAGATCTGCTCCAAGACCATTGCCACTGGGTACAAGCTAGCCAGTTCACCCAACTCTTCATGGACGACATGGACGGTGAAGCCCCTTCACGAGGAACCGTTGGATCCGTGCAAGGCAAAAAAACAAACCGGTGTTCATTCTCAGCACACAGATGCAATGCAGTTAGTGGTCTGTGTGGAACCAGGAAATATTTTCACGGTGAGGAGATATTGGTGGGCTTTGCTGCGGCAACTTTGCGTCTCTGCTTTCAGTTTGGCAATCATTGATGAAAGTCAGAAAAGGTGAAATCAATGAATGAGAAAGGTGTGTCAAAAAAGAAGAGGCAAATCGTGTAATACTATCGACTTTAACCTGGTTCCACACTCTTCAAAGAGAGCTTTTTTAGACGCCCGCTATTCTACTATTTTCTCAAAAACGGGCAGTGCAAGTGCTGTGGGTGAATGGGAGGTTTCCAAAGTACTCAAATTTGTTTACCCAAGGGGTGTTGCATGAGTGACTGATTGCAACGTAACCTTCCGCTCCGTGGGTGACGGCAGTGCTGACCCTCAAATATTGGTGTGAATAATAAAGAGAATGATTGACCAATTCCACCGAGAGTCATGATTGGGTTCACATTAAATCCTTAATGTCCTTTATTAGTGACATCTGGGCTTTCTCCAGCACGACAGGTCCAAATCTACGCTGTGTGAAATGACTGTCTTCAAACTGATGCACTACTTAGACTTACAGTGACAGTAACTAAAATCAAGGTCCTGTGACAGGATGTTAACACGGAGCCGGGCCCACATAGATGCTCGGTCGACTTCCCGCTGATACGTAAAGGCTGCAGGATTGATGTACCGCTTTTCTAATTCCTCACATGCCGTCCCCCCGAGGCCTGAGCAGCAGCACAATGCGAGGAAGCAGGCCGCACATGTCCGACTGACGCACTTGCAGCCAGGTGGCCAAGTAACCCCCCGAGCTGCAGCCACGCCGCTGCTGTGTCCATGTGTAGCGGCGACAGAGAGGAAGCCGCTGCCATCTATCCAAACAAGCTGTGGATAAGGACTCGGGATGGGGCTCAGTGATTTGGAAAATCATCAAACAGCTACTTCGGCATTTATAACACGCAGGAGATCCCTATTTGGTTTATGACTAAACGGTTCCTTCAGCTGCGCCTTTACATCATGCAGGAAAACAGTTAAATCCACAGTTTACAATATCTGTATTAAAACAAGTTGGAAAGCGATTGTATTGTTATCAAGGCTAGAATACAAAAAAGGAAACGTTGGCAACTTAAATCAAATGAATCTGCAACAAAACTGTCATAGCAAATTGAGTAGGAGAAACATGGTTTAATGTTTAATGGATGCCCTGCAGGTAAAAAGCAGCAATGTTAAAACACCGTAATGCTTTCAATTCATATTCAATGTCTTTGTTGTGTGCTCATATATATACTTTTGAATATTTATTACATTCCTGGTGAGAAAATGTGATCACAATGGTGAGAATGTTTCCCAAAGCTAGAAACACATACAGAAACACCCCCTAATGATTCCTACCTGTCATCAGTGGGACTATTTTCAGATTTGTTTATCAGTAGGCAGCCGTGTCCTCCACTGATAAAAGGTGACGCCAACCCAAGAAACAACAGCGTTTTCAGTGTTTCTATCTCCTGTTTCTTCCTGACTGGTCCTTTCGAACGCATAGTTCAAAGTGATCCCACCGCTTTCCTTCTGTCCTAAACACTTGGAACTGGGTTTCGATCCTTCAAGATTCATAAAAAAATGATTATTTAGACAGATGGCATTAAATTAGATAGTTTCAAAAATAAGGCCTCTCATCAAACAAACCAAAGTGTAAAGCTCAGTTGGAATTCACCTATTACATTTGCGACCTTCTCAGGAATGTCCTCACAAAGTGTCCGTTAACCTTCATCATGAATGTGCCTCCACTTTTTCTGTGTGTACCAACTTGAAACGCTGGGTTTATAGTCTTTATGGGACCCTGTAAAAGTCCGTCTAAGGCTGTTGTTTGTCAGGAAGGAGATAACCGATTAATCACTGTCACAGATGACAGCTGCTAGTTTCTTTCACGCAGCGATGGGTTTGTTGTCTGTGATCAAAGTTTCTGGAACGGCGCCGGCAGTTTATTCTCCAAATTGAAAACAACAGCTAATAATCTAAACTCAACTCTGAGACTATTCAAAATGCAGACTGCGAGTCAGCTTTTCTGTATCTGTGTATCGTGGCTGTTGCCACAGCCGGGCTCCATACGACAGCAACAGCAGGTGTCCATCAACTAAAGTAACACACAAAAGGGCCGGTTCTTTTGCCATGTTATAAACAAAAGTATTTTTCCCAAACGAAGACGATGCCCTCTTAAGAGAGACAGGAAAGTGTGAACCATTATTGGCGGAGCTTATATTGCGTCATAGAGCATTTGCTCCAACCGCGGTTCCCGACCAGCTGCCAACCACCCTGCGGGGGTTAACAGCGGAAATGGAGATAACAAACTCAGTTTGTTTTGAGCTCGTTCGCTTGATGCTGCAAGACGCCAATCCTAGAGTAAAAACACCATAGTTTCCAAAGATGAAATCTTGTAAATCATGAATATACATTATGTGACTTTGCCTGTGGCGCATTTAAGGCCTTAATCAATTAATCAGCAACTCCAATTCCAGGAACTTTAGTTTCTTTCATTTTTCAGGGACGGGGAGTATTTTAGATTTGGTAGCTAGGTGCCGGTGACCTTTTTAAAGCCCATGAGGGCCTCTGGATGTTTGAAGAAGGGGCTGGTGTTTACCTGTAGCACATTCATAACACCGCCTGACAACGGCGCCTTTATTCCATCATCCTTTTCAGAGACGAACATCCTTAGCTGACGGCCGAGGTGGAAAAGACAAGAGGGTGAAGAAAAGGATCCCCTCAGGCCACGTCGTCTCCGCCGGCAGTAAATTCTTTCCCGGTGACTGGGGAGTTTCAGCCAGGGCCCCTCACTTATCGAGGAGGAGGAGGAGGAACCTGTGAACTCCGTGAGGCTCGTTCTTCTTCCCTTTCAAACTCTTGACAAGAGTCGGGGGGACCAAGAGGTAATCTTCCCCCCAGGTGTGTTAAACCAACAAAGGATTAGTACAGAAATAGTTTTCCATTTAACAGTTCATTTCTTTCTTACCACCCTACAGCCCTCCAGCCCACCTCGACTTCCACAAACTCGCGTAGGCCGGCTCAAAAGGTGAAACGGAACCGTTGATTGGGAGATCATCGATGATGGAGTGACTCAAGGAAGGCGTGCTACGTAGGGGGTTCATTTACTGTGTGGAGGGTACAGATTTCACAACTGTGCGATGAATTGGTTGAATCCAACTGGTAATTTACTGTGATGAATTTTTTCTTTGTTTTGATTCTTGGACAAGAGTCCTTTTTTTAATTATGGAAAACTGCTAGAAGCGATGTTGGATCTGTCGACAGTCGTTGAAAACAACAATCTCAAAAAAAAGGTTTGGACATTTGTCAAGACGGCTCACATTATAGAAATGTGAACTCTAACATGTAACCAACGAAATGTAACGGCCAATTCTAAAATGTACTCGTTACACAAGTGACAAACGCTATCTTTCTAATACAGGGAAAAAAGAACGATACCAAAGTCCCTCATCTTTCTAATCAAGGGAAAGATGAGGGACTTTGGTTTCCGTCACCACATCGCTCTTCTTTAGTCCTTGCAGAGCCTGAATTCACACAGCAGAATGGAACAAAAAAACAGCTGAAATGGGAAAAAACACCTCCAGCAGGCAACAGGATGCACATGGCCCTGAGAAGGACGGCTGCTTAGGTCCAGGAAATGGAGGGAGAAGGAGAGGAAGGAGAGAATTTGGTTCGCAGCTGTGTTCCGACATAAAAAAATCCTGTTTTGAAGCACTGGAACACATTTTGTTATTCTTTCCCCACATCATCAACAGTGTGACACAACAATTGGTTAATCTGCAGTTCACGTGTCAACATTCCTCATTTATTAATCAAACATCAACAGCATTTGTTAAAGCCCATTACTCATATTTTGTTTCTTAAGCCTCTTTGCGATTTCTCAGATTGTTCTACTTGAGAGTAAGACAATCTTTGTTTTACTTTTGATTCCCAGTAAATGTAGACCCGGTTTGTGAGTCATGGTGCAGGGATGCGTTCACATACGCACTAACCTGAAGTGTCACTTTTATTGGCCATCAATCATCTCAAATTCTTTGCGGCACATTTTCTGTCTGTCATTTACACGCCATAAGCCAATATTGTACATTCAGCTCCAGGGGTTAAAAACAGACCCACTTCAAATGGTCACGCTTACAAATCAACGTCACCCAGCCAACAAAGAAAGCAAACTAACGTTGGTGCAACTCAGACACAAAAGAAGAGCAATGTGGACTTTGCCATTGGGTTTAAGAAATGACGGAGTGGACTGCGCATGTTTAGAGAGTTCTTTGTATCCAGCAAAGAACGATCACATACCACGTAATCACACACGCGCGCGCGCACACACACACACACACACACACACACACACACACACACACACACACACACACACACACACACACAGGATGCGGGCATCCTTGCATCCTGTGTGTGGGTGTGTGTGCGCGTGTGTAGCTGCAGCCTTTAACTGAGTCGGACCTCAGCGGGATCGAGGACAGTCGTCTGCAGCGCGCGCCGCCGCCCCGCGCACATCTGCATCGGACACCGTTTACTCCGCAAGACCGTTTGGATGGAAAGGATTACTTTAATAAACTGTCCGACATCCAAAGCGACGTAGGCCGAAGACATCGCACGTGGCCGCGCTCGATCTTGCTTTTGTGTTTTTGTTTTAATTCATTGTTCTCAAGTCTCGAGATCATCGTAAATCAAAATCATCAGACGAAAATGTAAGTGGCGTCTTTATTATGGGATGTGGGCAAGATTGACAATTTCACAGCATGCGTATCTTGGATCTGTACTTTTTAAGGCATTAACTACACATAGTGAAAGTCACTCATGAAGAGTGTACCTTAAGAAGAAGTGCTTATTGGCACATAAATAGCGCGCTCTCAAGGAGACTTTAGCCGAATTGAAAGTGTGAAGTGAGCCATTGCAATGCGGTTCCACCATCGTTCAGGGTAGATCTTGTTTGTGGTCTTTTTCGGTGGCTGCTCTGATCCTCGGGCCCCTGGGATTGTCTTTGGGGGTCCTAACATGATAGACTGCGATAGAAGCTCCTTCACTTCCTAAGAAGCTTTCCATAGATTTACATACATACAATGACACCTCACTCCACATTAAATCAATGTGCGTGGTATCAAAATAATAAATAAAGTTTAATCTTTTCTTTGCTGGTTATACAAAGACTATCAAATATATATCATGTTAACTTGGATCCGATTTGGATGTTAATCTTTCCTTCCTGGCTGTACGTGAAACCGGAAGTTGTTTTAAATGCGGTCTATATTTGCATACCTTTTTATTGTTTTAGTTTATTATTTCCAAGAAGATGAGGACGAATGCATGTGTACTTAAAGAAATATATTCAGTTTTTGTCTGGTATGTTATCATTACACAACACGCAGTTACATTTATTTGGGGATGAAAAAATGAATAAACCTTTAAAGAAAACGACCATCATTACTAACTCTGGAAGAGTTACCTCTTAACATACACAAATGTATGTGTACTCAATCAAGACGGTTTGACATGATAACACAATTATCATAGTTAGATTCTGTATACTATAATCGTTATATGAGTTCCATAATTACATTTTCTCTGACTGGCGTCTGTGCTATTCGACGTCCCCCAGGAAGACCAGCAGAGACCGTTGGAGGGTGTACAAGAGGGCGAGTATCATGTTCTTCCTGGCTGTGGTGGCGCTGACTGTTGTCCAGAGAGGGAGCATCAACACGGGGGCTCCCTTCGAACTCGAGCGTCAGGCTCGCATGGAAGCATCCGAGGGTGCCGAGCCTGGGGACAAAACTAACCCGAACCTGGGGGTGAAAAGCTTCTGGAAGGCTAGCAAACGCCACCCGCCGCCTAAGGCTCGGGCAAACACGCAGCCCCCCGAGACCACTGCGGTCGGCAGACCCACAGCCTGGGACGTCACCAGCTCCAACTGTAGCTCCAACCTCAACCTCACAAGCCAGGAATGGTTCACGGGCCTGGAGGACAATTTCAAGCAGTTCCTGCTTTATCGACACTGCCGCTACTTTCCCATGCTCCTCGACCACCCGGAGAAGTGCACAGGGGATGTCTATTTGCTCATGGTAATCAAATCTGTGGCGACCCAGCATGACCGGAGGGAGGTCATCCGAAAAACCTGGGGCAAGGAGCAGCTGGTCGACGGCAAAAAGATAAAGACCCTCTTCCTCCTTGGTAAACCCTCCAGCGAGGCAGAGGGGGTGCACCATCAGAAGCTAGTGGAGTACGAGGACCACATCTACAGGGACCTCCTCCAGTGGGACTTCCTGGACAGCTTTTTCAACCTCACCCTGAAGGAGACTCACTTCCTCAAGTGGTTCCACACGTACTGCCCCGGTGTGCGCTTTGTCTTCAAGGGAGACGATGACGTCTTTGTGAGGGTGGAGAATATCCTTGAGTATCTAGAAAGCACCAACGGGGCAAACAACCTGTTTGTGGGGGATGTGATTTTCAAGGCTAAACCCATTCGCAATAAGAGTAACAAATACTACATCCCCCAGGCTCTATACAACAAGACGCTCTACCCTCCGTATGCAGGTGGGGGGGGGTTTCTGATGGATGGCACCCTGGCACGGAGGCTTCACTGGGTGGCAGACTCCCTGGAGCTCTACCCCATTGATGACGTCTTCTTGGGCATGTGTCTGGAGGTGCTGCAGGTCACTCCAATAAAACACAACGCCTTTAAGACGTTCGGTTTGGTGAAAAATAAGAACAGTAAGTTGAACAAAGAACCGTGTTTCTTTAAGAGCATGATCGTGGTGCACAAGCTGCTCCCGTCGGACCTCATGCACATGTGGAATCTGGTCAACAGTGACCTCGTCTGCTCACATAAAGTGAAGATCCTATAGCTTGACGGGAGCAGCAGGTGAAGACAGCAGCTACGAGCCGAGCTGTACCTTGTGGATACTGTGACGCACGAGAGCCCCGGAAAACCCTCCTTCATGTGGAGAGGGACTATTGACAATATGTCAAATTGCGATTTCAAATACAGTTTCTAAGCAGTAAAAGCAATTTTTGGAAGAGTTTCCTCTAAAACAAGTGAATAATATAGTTTTAAAAGGTTGTAGAAATATTTATACTGTCATTTTGAAGGACTGATACTTTCAGGAAACAGAGACAACGATCTAAGTTGAGCTTTTTGCATCAACAGACATGTTGACAAGGCGTTAATTGTTGGGCGTGATGTTTTTAATGGGTTTAACCCTTATCACAGTCAGACACACAGACCACACTTCTTATCATTCTCATTCCTTATGATTGGATACAGTTGAAGAATTTCTTGGGTCAGGAACCATGTGGCACAGTTCAAACACAAATGATAGAAAACCCGTTAATGTGAATACACCTCAAAATATAGGTTAAGAAATGATTATGACCACTGGACAGAACCATGAACATGTATTTGTAGAATGATGTGTTTTGAGCCACTGCACAAGTCATTTTTAGCTTTTTGGGTTTGGCCAAAGAGTTACTGATATCTTTCCTTCTACTTTAAGTGTAACAAGGATACCAAAGTCGTTACATGCAGCTTGGGGAGGTAGGATGTGACCCCCCCCCTTTTGGTATCGTAGTCTTTGCACATTTTTTGGGGTTGGAGGGGGGTGTGATGGATGTCTACCACTCGTAGACTTCGAGTAGTACACTACTAGGGGAAAAAACAACTTGTGACATGTCTGTGGATTCGGAGAGTGTTTACAACGATACTTTGAACTAAACCCTTTGCTGGTACGAAAATAAGACATTTTTATTTAATGCCCAATTAAAGGGGGCACATGTGGGATGGGGTATTTAATTTAAACCATCAGATGAGCATATGAATGGGATGTTCAATGATTATAGAGCGGAATGTTGTGGGTGATAACTATGTCTAGATAATCAATATGTACATCCAATGTCTTTTGCAAAATAAAACATCTTAACACCACATTTTCCCTTTCTGTCCCAGATTTGGTGCTTTTATCTATAATAAATATAACACAACTTCTTCCAATGATCTTTTATTTATGGGAAACATTTTTTTTCTGTACATGCTATTGCTGCAATAGGGCACTTGCATAATTAGCAGCTGTAAGCCAATTGGTCAAATGTCCTGTTTTTCTGGATCCTGGCGACATACGAGTGTGAACCTTGGGGTGACAAGTAATATATTGGTGGAAGTGAATTCTTCAATAAAACAGTGTTGCCTTTGTAAGAATAAACCATACTTTCATTTTAAAGTTAGATTGCACCTTGCAACAGCTTGACAATTGTGTTTTGTTTGACATTTGTTAACAGTGAGTTTGTGTTTGTCTGTGTGTGTCTCACCCGCCTCCTCAAAGCTGTCTGGAAAACCTGCAGGTGGAAGGGATCCTAAATCCCAAAGAGGTGCCAGTGACACAGAGTAACAGAGGAAACACAGTTAAGTAACAACGGAATTCTGACGGTGAATGCGAGCCCACACTCGGCTCTCCAACCTGCCTGCAGCCCTGGAGCTGATTATTTGCTGACAGTAATTGGCGGAGGCCTTTTGATGTCTGCATGGTCGATGCGGTTTGGCTTTCACGCCGGCCCTCTATTTTTTTCAAAGGCGCTCTGGACTTGCTTTGTCCAGAGCGACTTGCCTTGCTCGGGCTAGAATGAACCAGAGCATTCCTCAGGTGACCAGATAGACCGTCTCTTGTCAGGTAAGGCATCACAGAACGTTTCATTTAGGACTCGCTATCACAAAATCTGTAAATGACACACTGCTTCCTGCAGAGGGATAAATCATCAGTGGCAGGTTAGGAGAGGAAAGAAAAAAACCATACACCATCAGTAGAAGAGGGGCTTGGTAGCTGAGTTGAGCAAAAAACAGACTATAAACAGGGATACAGTCGGCCCGAGTCCGAAGATATGGACACCACGTGACATGGCAACGGCTCATCTGCAGCGATCAGGGTCTTTTTTTGATTAAACTTCTATTTCGACCACATGTTTTCCTCACCTGCAGGACAGGCCATGATGCAAAGTGTTTGTGTCACAGCAATAAAGTATTTGCACATTCATTGTTCTCTGGAAAACAAATTAAGAGCTCAGTCATAGATCGCATCACAAGGAAGTATAGTATTTGCTGATTAAGACTTATTTCCCACGCAGGAAAAGAAAAGGTTAGAGAACAGAGTGCTACATGCCGAGCACTTCTGATCGGAACATGCAGTGCCACGGCAACGCTGTAACAATAGAGGGGGACATGTGTTGACCGTGCCTGCTGTAGAACTTTAAACTGAACGTTTTCCAGTGACTGCTTCATGAAATGAGTCGAGTAAGTTAACATGTCGTTATTGTGGCAGGTAACTGAACAGATGAGCAGTTTCAGGCTACAGGAGCAAATACAGAATCCAGTTCTCTTCCCGTCTAAAGCCTCGCATTCAGACAGAGGAAACGAGTCACTTGCCCCGTCCCCATAGCGACCCATCGATTTCACGTTGCGGTTTCCTCACTATATCGCTTCCCCTCCCACTGCTTAGGCTTCATATGAACACGTTGTATCCCAATTAGCCACACCATGTTCTAACACCAGACAAGTTTCATAATGATAATCCAAAAACAAATGTATTTTAAAAGCTTAGCTAACTTGAACCGCACAAGTTTAACTGGGCAGTCGACACAACCTCCCAACGAATCTAAATGGAGGCATTACGTGGTGCCACCACGAGGGCCTCCTGCCCAGACACCTCCACCAACAAAGACCCTGCTGAGCAGACTGCCAAATACTAAACTGGCAGTATCCCATTTAGATAGTGTCATTATATCAGACAAATGTATGACACATGAGGGACACTGCCACCTAGTGGAGGACCTTTCAAATGAATGGGATACAATTTAACAGCAGCCTCCTTAATCATATTCAAGCTGTAATTTATTGCGAGAATGTTATATTGCAGTAAACAAATTCCATCAAAGTATTTGAAGCCTTTGCGACCCGGTCATTACCATCAATTCAAACCTTCAGATTGACAAGAGATGAGAACAGGCACTTAAAAATCACCACCTACAAGGTTTTATTTAAATCACATGAAAATCTGGAGATTCTCGGATGGGGGAAAAAAAAAGTCAATGCACTACAAATATTTTATGTTACATAGACGAGAGGTTGTTCATCCTCTGACTCAAACACTGACCGCCCCACCAAATAAACTGACAGAACATCTTTGCCATTTTCTTAACATCCAACTCTTGAGAACCGACTCAACTCTGCTATCAAAATATGCTTTGCACATTACAGTAAAACTTTGTAACTAAAGGAAACTAAATGACAAAATAAAACCAAAACATATTGATACAAGTGAAACTCTTAAGTTTTTTTTTTTTTTTTTTACAAAAAGGTAAAATGAAATCATACAAACTGTTTAAATTTACACAATGTTTCTGACAAAGACAAGCGTATTTTTCACAGCAAACTTGTTTGCCAGACCCGTTCCATTTTACTCCTTCGAAAAAACAAGTAAGCTAATGAGGGCGAGAGGCGCAGGCTCGCATTCAGGACATTCAGTACTCACACAATGCTCATGAGTTGAGAAGGTCAAAAGTACCATTCTGGCACACAAGGGTGGGGAAGGTTTGAGGGGTCTAAATAAAGGGCTAAAATGCCCGTTAACAGTTAAATATATATCGTTGACGCTTTCTGGAATGTCCAAAAGCTCTGAAAAGTGATGAAACCAGAGTCCATTCAAAAAAGTAAAAGACTAAGGCTTTAGTCATCAAACTTAATTTTCTTCCCCTGGGGTTTGGCTCCAAATCCACCGCCACCTCTTCCACCTAAAATGAGAAAGAAAGACAGACAAGAGTTTAGTGGGCAGCCTCTTAGCAGAATTTTCTAAATGTATTCAGTCTAAGATGCTAATAAGTTTCCAGTACAAACTTATTAGCATCTATAGCTCTGCTGTATTATTGCAAAATCAATACATTAGTCGCTGACCAAATGTCTCCTCCTAGTCTTAAATTATACCTCCAAAGCCACCACGACCACGGCCGCCTCCACGAGGGCCTCCTCTTCCTCTGCCGCCGAATCCACCGCCACCACGGCCTCCGCCGAATCCACCGCCACCAAAGCCGCCGCGGCCACCTCTGCCTCCACGGCCGCCGCCGCCGAATCCACCTCCACGGCCGCCACGGAAGCCGCCTTCACCCTTGGGCCTGGCGTAGTCCAGGGTCACCTTTCTGCCATCAATCTCGCCGTCTTCCATGGCTTCCTTGGCTGCCTTGCAATCGTCCTCATTGTTGAAGTCCACAAAGCCAAAACTGAGGACGAAGGATACAACTTAGTCAAAGTTTCCACTTTTAAACAATGTGGACAAACATGGTACAATTTAGCTAGTATTTACAATAAGCTTGATTCTCTAAACTTACCCTTTTGATGACCCCGTTTCTCTGTCTGTTACTATTCTGGCTGCTGCGGCGCCATCGAACGAATCCTTGAGGGTTTGATCTGATGTGTCCTCAGAGAGACCCTTGACGAAAAGAGTTTTTGTTGGACCTGTAACAGAGAACATGGTTAAAACTACAAGATTTGATCCACCACAATCGGGATAAATAAAGTCAAGCAGAAATAACATGTAACGACCAGAATATCACCAGCTTTATGGTCAGGAGTTCAACACAAGGGGGTGGTATTCAAGCGCACAGGGACATTTGTGGACCTACCCATGTTTCCTCTGCCGCCATCTCTGCCACTGTTCTGACTGTACTCCAGTCGGATCGACCGACCATCAATATCTGTGTTGTTGAGGTTTTCCAGCGCATCCTTGGCATCCTCTGCACTATCAAACTCTAAAAAGGCAAAGCTAAAAGAAAATGCATGGCATTAGATGGTAAAATCAATATACGCGTTATCCTATGTGGGGCATTTTGTCAAATTATGTCTTAGATGGTACAACACCCAGATTAGAGGGTTACTTTCATTCAGATGTACATTGACTAGGTAAAGATTAAGAGGACCCCTGGACACTATGCCAGTACAAATTCTTACCCTTTAGGTCTGCCATCTCTCTGTGGAATCCTAATAGAGACGGCTTTCTCAAAGGCAGCCTGTAGGGCTTCCTCTGTGGCAGTGAAGGATAGATTATTCACCACCAGTGTTTTACTTGCTGCTCCGGGACCTACAGGGACAGAAAGAGGAAACCAGTGAGAAATACGAAGCATGCATGCGGCTCTCTTCCCATTGCAAATATTACATCAAAGCCTGGACAGCATAAATACCAATGCCGGTGAGTTTACCTTGTGACATTGGGGCTTTCTGGCCCATACTCTTATCGCCAACATAGTCAACCATGATGGACCTCCCCTGTACATCAGCTCCCTGAGCTTCCTCCAGCGTCTTCTCTGCATCCGCCTCACTTTTGAACTCGATGTAGGCAATTCTGTCAAAGGGAAATAATTTAGGACAAATATAGACTGCTTGTAGGGCTCATGTTGCACTTTCTGGTGTTAATTAACTCGTGGCTTGTTCTTACCCTCTGTTAGAACCATTCTGGCCTGGTGGTAACCTGACGTCAACTGCATCTTCAAAGACTTCCTTCAAGTCATCAACAGTGGCAGAGAAGGGAAGGTTCTTCACAAATAGTGTCCGTGCATCTCTCTCTGTGGGAACAAATGTCATCAGCTTTGGGAAAGGCTTTTAAATAATTACTCATCGAAGTCTTGATGCAATAAACATTCATTTGAACCTTCATGGAAAATGCAAAACTGTTACAGCGATTGAGGATAGAACCGGCAGACTCTAAAATACACACCGGCACCGAAGACATAGCGCTGCATTTAATCTTCCTCCGAGCATTTCACCCACGAGTACCGAGTGACCACGTGCGTGTCAAGAATTGGAGGGGCTGCTGGTATTTTACATTTAAGGGAAAAGAAAATGACCACGGCCTGTTTTACCTCTCTTGCCATCCTGAGGGCCCTCCTTGCTTCGGGCCCGGTCCAACTTCAAGTCCTGACCCATGAGCTTCTTGCCATTTAGCTCAAGAGCT